TGCTACTCCTAGCTCTAGGCAGCGCTGAGCTGGAGCCAACTCCTGGGTTGCTCCTGGTTGTGCTCCCCGGACCACGTGGTGAGTTTTGAACCCAGGCCTCCTACATATGAAGCACATTTGGCTTGCTCGGCTACCTCGTTAACCTTTTTCCATGTTACTTTTCTGACTGCAAGTCCAACTTCTCCTGCCACTCACCCACTTTAGACACACATTGGCTCTTAGTTCCTGGTCAAGTACTTACAGCCTCAGGGCTTTTGCACTTGCTCTTTTACCTTCCAAAGATGCCTTCCCCAGAAATGTTTGCATGGCTGATTTCTGCATTTACCACATAATCTTTACTAAATGTTTTGATGTTTTCAGTGAGAACATCGAAAGCATTCTGTGTAAAGCATTATCTTTCCTCCATAATTTATATTAGAATGCCATGTCCTAATATTTTATATAATTCTGTTGCTCATTTTACCTGTCTTTCTCTGATTGTACACACACACACACACACACACACACACACACACATATTCTATCAGAACATAAATTTGAGGGAGGAGTCCCCACCTATTACTTGTTTGGAACGCAAGCTATGTCCAGCTATGTGGACCTCATGGAGTACGCTTTTTAAGGGAGGAGCCACACCTGACAATGATGGATCAGGGGTTACTCCTGGCTCTGCCCTCGGGGATCACTCCTGGCAGGGTTTGAGCATCCAAATGAGTGCCAGAGATCAAACCTAGGTTAGCTGCATGAATGGAAAGCACCCCGCCTGCTGTAATTGTTCCAGTAGCAATAGGGTCCTTTATTTTGCATGATGTAGGAATTAACTCCTGGGTGTGCCATAGGGAGAGCCAGCGATTGGACCCATTCAAGGCGAGCGCCCTACTCACTGTACCAACTCTCCGACCCCAATAGGGTGCTTTCTTAAGTGGCCGGGCCTGTTGATGAGGTGCTGCTTGGGCCTCGAGTGCTGGGGTTCAGTAGAGCAAAGCCTGTGTTCCCAGAGTTCTGATCATTAAATGTTTCTATTTGCCTATGTCACTTTTTTTCCCCCAACTTTGGCATCAGAGCCACACCTGGCAGTGCTTGACAATCACTTCTGGCAGTGCTTGGGGAACCAGCTGGTATCGAGGACAGAACATGAGGTTCCTAGCCAACTCTTTCAGTTAACTACCTGCCCACCCCCACTGTCACTGTCACTGTCCTCCCATTGTTCATCGATTTGCTCGAGCGGGCCCAGTAATGTCTCCATTGGAGACTTTGTTGTTACTGTGTTTGGCATATCGAGTAAGTCACGGGTAGCTTGCCAGGCTCTGCCGTGCGGGCGAGATACTCTTGGTAGCTTGCCAGGCTCTCCGAGAGGGGTGGAGGAGTCGAACCGGGCTTGGCCAGGCTGGCTGTGTGCAAGGCAAACGCCCTACCACTGTGCTATCGCTCTAGTCCCACCTGCCCCTCCACAAGTTATTTAAAACTTTTCGGTGTATTCAGAAATATTTTCCGTAATAGTTTTCTGAACACTCAAAATACACTTGTTCTGGGTCACTTGTTCTCTTTGTGTGCACAGTAGAACAAATTATCCAAGGGGCTGGAGCAGGAGTACAGTGAGAAGGGCATTTGCCTTGCAAGCAGCTGACCCCCGTTTGATCCCTGGCATTCCATATGGTCCCCTGAGCACTGCCAGGAATAATTCCTGAGCATAAAGCCAGGAGTAACATCTGAGCATCACCAGGTGTAAACCAAAAACATAAAACAAACCAAAAACTCCCCCCAAAAACACACATCCCCCCCTTGGGGGCTGGAGCAATAGCACAGCGGGTAGGGCATTTGCCTTGCATGCGGCCAACCAGGGTTGCAGCATCCCATATGGCCCCCTGAACACCGCCAAAGGTAATTCCTGAGTGCAGAGCCAGGAGTAACCCCTGTGCACTGCCGGGTGTGACCCAAAAAGCAAAAGAAAAAAAGAGGTGCTGGAGCGATAGCATAGCACGTAGGGCATTTGCCTTGCACGCAGCTGACCCAGGTTCGATTCCCAGCATCCCATATGGTCCCCTGAACACCCCCAGGAATGATTTCTGAGTGCATGAAGCAGGAGTAACTCCTGTGCATGGCTGGGTGTGACCTCCCCCCCAAAACAAAACAAACCCAAACCAAATCATTCAAAAATTTTAACTACACATTCTTCTTTGTTGTGTGTGTGTGGGGGGGAAGGGGTGGATTTTGAGCCGGCTACACTTGATGACGCTCAGGAGTGATGCCTTACTTCCTGCACTATTTCTTTTTTTTCCAGCATCAAACTCAGGACTTCACATGTGCAAGATTTGTTCTTAGTCACTGAGTACATCTCAAGTACTAGCCCCCCCAAATATATATATATATATTTGGGGGGTCACACCTGGCAGTGCTTCTGGCTTACTCTGTGTTCAGGGGTGTCACTATTTGTGTGCTAGGGGGACCTTGTGGTGCTGGGAACCGAACTCAGGGCTCTAAGCTATCTTCCAGGTACCGTTCTTGTTCTTGGCCACATCCAGTGGAGCGCAGGGCTTCCTCCTGGCTCTGTGCTGGGGCATCACTCCTCATGGGGCTCAGGGGACCCTAGAAGATGGCAGGGATCAAACCCATTCAGCCTTGGGAATGCAAGTGCCTTACCTGCTGTATTATTGCTCTGATCCCTAAAAAGTTAAATTGGAGTTTTTTTCCAAATAAAAGTGATTATTAGTGAAATAATGACAGAATCGAAACTAATGAAGAAAAACCTTTCATAAAAGAAGTTCATGGTGAAACATTATGGAACCAGAAATCCTGGTTTCTCATTATTCAGTAGTGTGTGGCTTGGGAAGAAGCTTTAAAGTTGCAGGATCCTCCAAATGGGCTGTAATTCCAAGGCTTCATTCAGAAGTCCTTGTGAATCACGGGGGTAATGCACAGCTTTGTAAGCCGAATGGTTTGTATGAGTAAACTCGAGGAAGGTATGCAGACTCGTCTGCCTTCTCTCTGGGTACAGAGCAGGGTGACTCACCATCCTGTCTCTCCTTCCCTATCATCTCTGGTCTTGCTCTCCTTTCCACAAGAGCGTGGCTTAGTAGCAGCAGCTCAGCAGAGGATCTGACAGGGTTTCTGTGGGCCTTTGGGTGGGCAGAAAGCAGGTCACAACAACACAGAGCAGATGGCTTGCAAAGGGTCAGCCTGGTTCCATCCTCAGGACTCTCACCACCTATATCTGCATTTCTCTCAGATCTCAGCTGCTCTACTTGTAAACTAAGCGCACAGTACCATAGGACTACCTGGTATAGATGGCTTGAAAATGCTAGGAGAGAATGCAAGAAAGTTTAGCTTTCTGTTTTGGGTTTGGGGGCACCCCCTGCGGTGCTAGGGATCACTCCTGGCAGGGCTGGAGGGGGGGACTCTATGCGGAGGTCAGCCTGGGTCAGCAGCGTGCAAGGCATTCGCTGTCCACTTATATCTCTCAGGCCCTAAGAAGGTTTAGTTGTTAGGGTGAAGTGTTCTTCCCTAGCACCTCTTTCCTCCTACGGAAGCCTCCTGAAACCTGCTTACCGTAGAAGTGACGCTGCCGAGTAGTTTCCCCACAGCCTTTTAGTGAGAATTTCAGTCAGGAAATTACTGTGATTTGAATCAATTCAGTAACATTATGGTGTAAATAATTAGCACCCACAGGTGGCTTGGAGAATGGTTTGCATTTTAAAAAGGATTGGCTGACTGGAAGGTTTTCAGAAAACATGGAACTTTTTATTTTTCTTTTTTGAAAAAAGAGGGTGTTCTCAGAACCCTCCCCCCCACATCCCCCCATCACTTAAGCCGTGCCTTGTAAATTTAAAGCAGACCGTGGAAGAGAAATGTTTTGGGGGAGGCACAGCCGGCGATGCTCAGGCCCTGCACTCAGGACTACTCCTGGCGGTGGTCTGGAGGTCCGGTGGGTGCAAGGAAAGCAAGTCCGACCCCCTGTACTAGGGCTTCGGTCCCCGTATTTTTTTAATTTTTAAAATGTTTTTTTTTTTTTAAATAAAAAGAAATTGTGGTTTCTTTTGTTTTGAGGCCACAGCGGTCTGCACTCAGGGATCACTCCTGGCGGGCGGGGCTCGGGGAACTCAAATTACTAAACTCGTTCAGCTCCCTTTGCAACAGTGACCTTTCGGACCCTAACGACCTTGGCCGGCCTCGTCTGGGGATGAACCTGGCTGCAGCGGAGCGGGCAGGAAAGGCTCAAAGCGCCAATGGAATGCCAGAAAGGAAGTTTTCATTCGAATCAACTCGACCCAACGGCCAGCCAACCCGGTCCTCTAAGCTAGCTCCCCTCCTCCCGGGGGCCAGACTCCGAGATGCTGGGCGGGGCCAGGCCGCCCGCGGGCCGGGGGTGTCCAGGGCCGCTAGGGAACAGATTTCCTTGGTCGGCTGCAGTCTTCCCCCACCCCCTCAAAAAAACCCAAACGCGTGCAGGGCAGGGGTGGGGTTGGGCAGACGGGTCACCGAGCGCTGGGCCGTTTCTGGGAGGCTGGAGAAGTGAACCCGACTTCAGCGCCCCCAGACACACGCATCGAAAGGACTTTCTGGGGTTCCACTACCGCGACCGGGGCGAGAGCGGCCGGTCTGGAGAAGGGACTGGCCGTGGGGTGCCCCCACCTGCGGCCGTACTGGGAGTGCCCGGACGCCAGGGGCCGAGGGGGCGTGCTCGAGTCCCGGTGGGCGTGGCCCTAGTGCGTGCTCAAGTCCCGGTGGGCGTGGCTCCAGGGCGTGCCCGAGTCCCGGTGGGCGTGGCTCCAGGGAGCGCCCGCGCCTTAGTGGGCGTGTCTGCGGGTTGAGAGGCGGGGCGTGTTCAAGTCCTGGTGGGTGTGTCTGCGGGGGGCGGGGCGTGTCCTCGGGTTGCGGGGCGTGCCCGAGTCTCGGTAGGCGTGTCTGCGGGCGGCGGGGCGGGGCGTGCCCGAGGCCCGGTGGGCGTGTCTGCGGGCGGCGGGGCGGGGCCGCCGGACGCCCGGGCGCGCGGGCCCAGCCTGGAGCGGCGGGCCGGGTCGCCGGGCGGCGGGGAGGGGCCGGGACGGCCGGCTTGAGCGGCGGCCGCAGCTGCAGCAGGACGGCGCGCCGGCGGTTCGGGGCCGCGCGCCGGGAAGCTCGCGGGGCGGGCGCACGCGGCACCCCCTGCCTGGCCGGGGAGGCGGCCCGCGCGACGGGACCAGCAGCATGAGCAGCGGCTACAGCAGCCTGGAGGAGGACGCCGAGGACTTCTTCTTCACGGCCAGGACCTCCTTCTTCCGGAGGGCGCCCCAGGGCAAGCCCCGCGCCGGCCAGCCAGTGAGTGCGCGCGGGGCGCTCCCCGCACCCCTCCACGTGTCTCCGCGGGCGGCCGGGAATGCGGGGCTGGGTGGTGCCGTGTGCGGGGGACACCGGCCAGCGCCGTCGGACCTTTCTGGAGCCGGGTGCGGGGCGTGGAACTAGGGCCGACGGGCGTGGGGGCGCGCCGGGCGCAGGGAGGCGCAGGAAGGGCGGGGAAGGGAGGCCGGCTGCTGCCGTCGCGCCAGATGGCCTCTGCGGCTCGGCCTCGGGCGGTAGTCGGGTGGCTGCAGGGGGTGGGGGGCGCCCGGAGCCGCCCCCGGCTCTCGCCCTGCACCGGGGGCCGGGGCGCCCCGGGCTTCCGCAGCCGGCGCCGCCGTCGGGTGTTTGCGGTGTGCCCTGTTGAGCTGCGGGGCCCGAGTCCCCGGGGCGCCGTGTACTTTGGGCCCGGGCAGCGCGGGATGACCCAGCTCCCCGTTTTCGCGCCCCAGACCCGACCCCGGGTGCGGGTGCGGGTGCGGGTGCGGGAGGCGCCGCGTCTGGGCTGCGGGCGCCCGCGTTGCAAAGTCAAGTTGCTCCGCGCCGCCGCCGCTGCGGGCGTTTTGCAGAGCAAGTTCTGGGCTAGGGGACTGGGCGCGGGCGCCGGTCGAGCCCGACGCCGCTTGGTTTTTCTTCCTTTTTTGGAGGAAGCACGCCGTGGGAAGCTGAACTTGGGGGCAAAAGATGGGAAGGGAACCGGGCTCCGGTCTTGCCGACCGTGAGCGTTTTTTTTTTTTTTTTTTTGCGCGGGGGAGGGAGGCTTGTTCGCCGCGTGGGACTCGGACTGGCACTTGGGGACCCTGGCGCGGGGCGCCACCCTGCAGGCCCTGCCCTGCGCGCCGCGTGCCCAGCAGATTAGAGGAGCCTGTCATGGAACAAATTTGTGGCTCCTCTAAAAAACAAGAGGCGCGCGCCGGAATCTCGCTCCGAGGCTTCATCCTGGGACTGGAAGCCAGGAAAATCGTTCAGGCCGGATGATGAGTTACCGGGAGGGGCGAGGACGGCGTCATGGGTCAGGATTTCCTTGCCAGACCTTTTTAAGTTTATTTGACCGTTTTCTAAGGTCAGATTTCTCTCCAGGCTCGGGAAGGGCTATCCCGTCTCTAGCTTCCATCCCCCGAGAAGCGGGAGGGGACGCGAGAGCGCCGGAGGGAGGTCTAAGTAAGCCCCTAAGTAACCCCGGGGGAAGTGCCCGGGGAGCCCTCGCCCAGTCTTTGAGTCCCGTTTCCAGCGGTGGTTGCAGCCCAGTTTTACCAGTCATGAGCCGCTGCTGCAGCAGCAGCACTCCCCGGCCCACGGGTGGGTCTGGATTTCTGTACACGATTCTGAGATGGAGGTTTTTGCAGGCATTTTGGCTCATAGCGGATTTCTGGTGGGCAAGCTCCTTCCCTCCTGTGAGGACCCTAATAATCCCATCACTGGTGGCCCCAAGTCCACACCTCCAAGTACTCACACATCAAGGCCTCACCGAGTGATTGGGGATAGGAGGTGACGGGGAGCTGGAATTAAAATTAGTTATTAGGAAATGACCTTTTTGGGGGTTGGTGGTTGGGTTGATGCTCAGGGGCTGTTCCCTAATGAGGTGTGACCTCGGATTGTGTATGGGTCATGTGCTACCCTCGATTGAACCAGGCTTGGGAGCTGGAGTGATAGTACAGCGGGTAAGGTGCTTGTCTCGCACATGGCCATCCCAGGTTTAATCCCCAGCATCCCTTATAGCCCCCCTGAGCACCGACAGGAGTAATCTCTGAACTCCAAAGCCAGGAGTAACCCCTGAGTATTGACGAGAGTGACTAAAAGCAAAAACAAAATATTGAACCAGAATTGGCTGCTCACGACGCAAGTCTCCTCTTTTATCTCTTGGCCGCCCCAAATCTTCTTTTTCAGTACAGGGGGTTGTTGTGGGTTTTTTTGTTGTTGCCGTTGTTTAATTTTTGGTTTTCACTAGGACCTCATCCACAAAGCCATGCACTAGACTATGTCCCTCCTCACTTTCTGATTTTTATAGACGCTTCATTATACAGGGATGATGAGCTCAGTGGCTAATGCTAATGGAGCCGGTTAATCCCACACTCTGATCACAAGATTGGTTTTCAGGTAACCAGCCCCTATCCTGAGGGGCTTCAAGAAACCACCTCCTTAATAAAGAAAATTGTTACTTGATTGATCAATCAGAAAATTCCAAACTGGGAGTCTAGAAGGGGACCAAGGCATATTTATTGTAAATCACCATATCACAGTTTTGAAGTTTAGAAATTACACTCCCCTCCAACTCACCCTTAGCCTCCTCTCCAACTGCCCCGCCTCCCACACTCACACATTTCCTTCTGCTCTCACTTTGCTTTCTCTGCTTTCTCCCCCTCCACTTAATGCAGCTCTTCCATTCTTTTTATTGTTTCTGCTTTTGGGGCCATACCCGACCACGATGTTCAGGGGTTACTCCTGACTCTGCGTTCAGGGGTTACTCCTGGTGGTGCTTGGGGGACCTTGTGGGGTGCCAGGGATAAAGTCTGGGTGGTCTCATGCAAGGCAAGTGCCCTTAACCTGCTGTGCTCTCCTCGCAAATAGCTGTTCCCATTCTTAACGTTTTGACTAGTTTGTCAGGCAGAGTTGCTGGTGCTGTTTGAAGTCTGTTCCAGAGGTGATAGAATCTTGAGAATTCTAACCGGTTCTTGGATTCTGTAGGTGTGAGATACTCCTTTACAAGGGTTCACGTTCAGGCTGGAATTGTATGGGAATGCACTAATCTTTAAAAAAAAAGTAAACGGCATCAATGTTTTTCTGGAGTTAAGTACATCCAGTGTTACTTTGTAGTACTCACTTTATGTATTATTTTTCTGGTGCATATACTATATTGTTACTGTGTCTGGCATATCAAATACTCTCGGTAGCTTGCCGGGCTCTCCGAGAGGGGCGGAGGAATCGAACTCGGGTCGGCCATGTTGGCCGCTTGTAAGGCGAACGCCCTACCCGCTGTGCTATCGCTCCAGCTCTTAGTTATTGTATTTGGTGCCACAACTGGCACTGCTCAGGGGCCCATATGGGCTGCTGGGGATCAAACCCGGGTCAAGGCAAGTGCCCTATCTGCTGTACTGTCGCTTTGGCCCCTCATTTATATTTTGAGGGATTTGGGGCCACACTCAGCAATGCTTAGGTGTTACTCCTGGCTCTGAATTTAGGAATTACTAATGCTGGCAGTATTGGGTGGACCATATGAAATGCTGATGATTGAACCCTGTCGCTGCCTGTATGGCAAACACCCTACATGCTCTGCCCACCCTGGCCCCTCTCTCGTGTTATCGAGCATCAAGGTTTACTCTTAACTTCATTACTCATTACGAAGTGTTTCGAAATACTGTAAAAGTCAGAACACTAAGACCTGGCTTATTTGCTTTTCTCTTTTGATTCTGAGCTTGTAACCTGGGGCCTCAGTCTTCTAAGGTATCTGCTCTCTGAACCCCGCCCATGGCCTGAGGCCTGGCTCTTCACTGGAAGATACTACTATGTGATTTGAAGCTTTGTTGTTCTGTCTCTCAGGCCTGCAGCGTGCTGAATTATGACTGACTTGTCTTTAGTTTTTGAAGGGATGACGCCCAGTGGTGCTTGGGGCCTACTTCCTCCTGAGTGAGCTCATGCTCTGGGGGTTCCTCCGTTCCCAGCAGTGTGGGGATCAAACCTGGGCCTCCAGCAATCATGGACTCCGTCCTCTGAGCTCTGTCCTGACCTTACTGGACATTTGGTTTATTTAAAGAAGCAACAGAGTGAGTCTGTTGAATTCCTTGCATGATTTGTGAATTGAGGAAGTGAAATGAACAATAAATTAAAACCCAAGTTTAGATAAGTCATGTCATTTTATTATGCTGGTTATTATAAGAGTAAGATAAGCACTTCCATGGTCAGAACAATAGTATAGTGGTGAGGGTGCTTTCTTTGCTCACAGCTGACCAGGGTTCAATCATGGGCACCCCACATGGTCCCTCGAGCATTACCCAGAGTGTTTCCTCAGAGTAGAACCTGGAGTAAGTAAGCTCTGAGCACATCTGGGTTTGGCCCCAAAAAAACAAGAAAGAAAATTCTTAGGGGCTGGATTAATAGTGTAGCTGGTAGGGTACTCGCCTTGCATGCGGTTGACCCATCCTTGGCATCCTATATGGTCCCCCAAGCACCACCAGGAGTGATACCTGAGTACAGAGCCAGGAATAACTACTGAGCATCCCTGAGTGTGGCCTAAAAACTGGAAGAAAAAAAGAAAAGAAAATGCTTAAAAAACCTTTAACAGGGATGAACTGTCACGGTCTACCCATTGTTCATCGATTTGCTCGAGTGGGCCCAGTAACATCTCCATCGTGAGACTTGTTGTTACTGTGTTTGGCATATTGAATACATCACGGGGAGCTTGCCAGGTTTTGGATCACACCCAGCGTTGCTCAGGGATTACTCCGACTCTGCACTCAGGAATTACTCCTGGTGGTTCTTGGGGTACCATATGGGATGCTGGGATTGAACTTGGGTTGCCTGTGTGCCCTCCCCGCTGTACTATCGCTCTGGTCTCATAGGGTATTTTGTTTGTTTGTTTTTGAGGGGGCACACCCAACAGTGCTCAGGGGCTATCATTGACTCTGTGCTCAGGGGTCACTCTGGTGGTGCTGGTGGGTCTCTGTGGTGCCCGAAGCCGACTGGGGTTCCCCAGTGTAATGTCAGCGGCTTAACACCCCGTGCTCTCTCTCCTGTCCTGAAGACATTCATAACTTTTTAAGGCAGTTTGAATGTCAGGTTTATTGCTGTGTGTCCAGGTTGTCGGTCAGTTCGTACCATATTAAATATTAGTTGAATGAATGAATGTTTTTCTGGTTTGATAATAATTGGCTCTTAAGGGATTTTCAGTGTACCATGCCGTGCCCCGCCCCCACTCTGCCTTTTATTGCAGCACCAGGGATTGAACCTAGGCTTCATGCATGCATGACATGCACTTTACTGTTGAG